GTTTGACGTTTTCATGAATGCTTTGGTCGTAAGGCCAGCACAGTCGTTGCGACAAACAAAGATATCAAGGAACACCAGCTGGTTGTTTTATTCCTCTGCTGAGACGTTCTTTGAACGTGAGCACCTGATCTTCTTCGATGACGATGAAGGTATCATCCGCATACCGCACCCATAATATCGGTCAGTGGTGTTGAAAGACCAGTGACTCTAAGCGTTGTAGGACCGCCTCGGTTATGAGTCCCGAAATCGATTAAACTATTGGCGTTCCCTTCACCTGCTTGTATATGTTATTCGTTAAACGTGAAGTTCCTCCTGAGACACAACTGCAGGAGCTGTAGGATTCGGGCGTGTCCGAGATGATTCTCCAGTTCATCCTGTTTGCTTCGTAGGAGTAGTTTTACGGTCTGAATTGCCAGATCCTAGTGGATAGAAGTAAATAGGGACGTGAATTCACAGGAAACCATGACATCACTTGGCGGGAAACTCGCCCCTTTAAGTTTCTCCAAGAATCGTGTTGATAAACCGACCGTGGTGTGTAAATCAACGGTTAGATATTTAAGACACCGAAACAGACACTTTGCCAGTCCGTACTTTAAAGTATATTTTAGCTATGCAATCAGCCGGAGAAGTTCGCCATATTTGTGCACAGTGGGGAGGCCATAGAAGCGGGCCAAGACCGTTTCTTGCGCTCTCGCCATGTATCGGTCAGATGACGAGATTACACACGAGTTTTCTAATGCCAACAAGACCTAATTAATTTCGTGGTTCAGCTTCTTAGGGGGGTTGGTTTTATATGGGACATAATATTTATAATCCTTAAGTTAGTATTTAGCTTTCTAGAGGTAGACGACAGCGGAACGCCCCTTGTCAGCCGGCACGATGACGATGTTCCGGGTGGCCGTGAGTGCTCTTAGTTCATCTCGTTCGACCTTGATGAGCACTTCGCGCCGTCGATGAGCCATAATAGAAGACGATATCTCGTATTCGACACCGATTCCAATGTCTGGCGGCTGATTTTGACACCAAGGTTCGTTCATCGACACAATGCTTGGAAAAACTTAAAGGGTTAAGTTTCGTGCCAAGTGATTTCACGTCCCTTGTTAATTCTAGCCCCTAGAGGAGACGTTAGTTGTCACAAGTGTGCAGCAGTGACTGTGTGCTATGAAAACTGTAATTCCTGTAATCTCTGTTTAGGTCCTTTGTGAAGGATCCACGACGGATTTCAAAATGCCAGGCGAATATAAGTATTGTCTCAGCGATTATATCGTCCTCTTCTCAATTACTTCCTGGTACTTGCATGTTCACATTTATTAGTATAGCGAATGCCAAGACACAGGGAAAATTGAACTCGTATTATAGGTAAGTTTCAGTTAGAAAACATCTATTTATCATATTTCTAGTGCTGACTGTCATAGATAATATATCAAAGTTTCTGTTTTCAATCGTTCCTTATTTTCGGAAATAGTTCCCGTTACCCACCTTAAACTGCTAAGAACACTTCAGACTTGACTGAGCGTACGCTGGGGAGCGAAATTAGTAATGCCCCCATAAATAACAACGCATTTCAGAGGTGAAAAGGTTCCCTCAGTAAACTGGTGATCAGAGATTTTTAAATGCCTGTACTATTATTTTCCTATTTAAGCGTTCGCGTATTTATTACTGGTTGTGACGAGGCACACAATACTGGACAGAAAAACACAGCTCGTTAGTCATAAAGAGATATGCGTGCACCTCTTATAAAAACGCACGGCTTTCACATGAAGCCCTTGGATGAATTTAATTATCCCGAAAATTCCTGTTTATCAATACTCTACTCTATAAAATCTCATAGGTGCGATGCGTTAGGCTCCTTTGTAACTCGGAGATATTCTTCACATTAGACAGCAACGCATTAGCTGTAATGTTTTTGGAAAAATTTGCCATAAATACCGACAAAGTACACTTGAGATGTAAGGGTCCTTGAAGAGGAGTATGGGTATATAAGGGACAAGGTGTTTTAGCAAGTAGATGAAGGGAGTTCTGATCATCGACTGCCCCCGCCATCCACAGTAATTCAAGAGTATAAGTGAGTAGGCTAGAAGGAAACGTTCAAGACAAGATTGTTGAAACAAGCAGTTTATTGACCTAACATTTCGTATTCTAATATTATCTCGTTATCCAAAGAACTCGCATGTAAGGATAAGGTAAACACAAAGAACCCAGTATCTGCAGGACGTAAATTTCATCCCAATACATTCCTACGCAAATAGATGCAAGGGTATTCATCTCTGGGCGCCGTAATTAATGCGACGATGCCTTGCCAGTCAGCACATGAATCATGTATTATTTTCATAACCGTGGTTGGCTCTTTACGTGAAGAATTACGGTCGTTGGATTCGTCTGTACATTTATCTTGCCTAGGCAAAATAACAACCCACGTTATAAAGGGTAGATGAAATTAAGTGAAAGTGAGCTAGAAAACTGTGATTCTAGCGGTTCTTTGCTCATAAATGTGTTCCACAACCTCTAAGCCAACGAGCAAACAGATGAACACCCACGCAAGCTGCTTGTTTGAACACAGCCGACGCTAAGCCTCGACTTACCTTATTATAGCACTGGAAACACCCCCTGTGTTTTGAAACAACTGATGACAAAACACC